AGGTGTTTAGGTTCTGTTGGCGATTATTTGTATTTGTAGTACGTGGGTGAAGCATTTACAGCGTTGTGGTTCGAACACAAGTCGTCAGTGAAGCACTTGTTCCGGAAGTGTTCGAACGTCAGCAGTTGTGAGTCGTGTGTAAACCGCTTTTCATTCATAAACAGGGGGTTTGGTGGGTGGATGGAATCACTTTTGGGTCTTTGTTTGGAGGACGGGCTGGTTAAACATATAGTTCAAGGGTTTATTGAACACTCAACCACAGAAGGTGATTCGGTGCTTTGAAAAATGCTAAGCTAACCTACATACGTAAATACATAGATACACAGATTTACGTATGTCCTACATACAGTGTTTGATGTGTCTTTTTAGTTTTGGTAGGGACGCGAGTCTTATTTTCCTCAGCGTCACTCCTTTTATATGAAAGGAACCATCGGAAATGCACCCGAGGTGCCGTGTGGCTTGTCGCCCACCCACCAGTTAGGGTACCCAAGCCACCAGTTAGGGTACCCAAGCCACCAGTTAGGGTACCCAAGCCACCAGTTAGGGTACCCAAGCCACCAGTTAGGGTACCCAAGCCACCAGTTAGGGTACCCAAGCCACCAGTTAGGGTACCCAAGCCACCAGTTAGGGTACCCAAGCCACCAGTTAGGGTACCCAAGCCACCAGTTAGGATACCCAAGCCACCAGTTAGGATACCCAACCCCACCAGTTAGGGTACCCAAGCCACCAGTTAGGGTACCCAAGCCACCAGTTAGGGTACCCAAGCCACCAGTTAGGGTACCCAACCCCACCAGTTAGGGTACCCAACCCCACCAGTTAGGGTACCCAACCCACCAGTTAGGGTACCCAAGCCACCAGTTAGGCTGCCCAACCCACCAGCTAGGCTGCCCAACCCACCAGCTAGGCTGCCCAACCCACCAGCCAGGGTACCCAATCCACCAGTCAGGGTACCCAATCCACCAGTCAGGGTACCCAATCCACCAGTCAGGGTACCCAATCCACCACTTAGGGTACCCAATCCACCACTTAGGGTACCCAATCCACCAGTCAGGGTACCCAATCCACCAGCTAGGGTACCCAATCCACCAGCTAAGGCACCCACCCCACCAGTTAGGGTACCCAACCACCAGTTAGGGTACCCAACCACCAGTTAGGGTATACCAGTGGCTGGCTAGGAAGCTCCGGTACTTCAAAGCTCACTATAATATATGTACTGTTGGGAATAGCGGGCACAGCAACCTGCCTCGCCTGTTGCACGTCCGCGTTCGATCCCCAATGATCGCTCCCTCACTCTGGGCCCGCCATCTTGATTCCTGTGATATCGTGTAGTGTAAAAACACAACAGCGCTCAATTCATCGTTTCTCTTTCCATGTAGATACTCATGCAGGACTAAATCGCGAATTTTGGGGATATTATCAACACGTGCTGAAATAACATAGACACCCGTATGAGTATGGCATTCCATTTTCTCAGGTTGCCTAAACTAGAAAACGGGAAATCATCGCATGGTGGACTCGCGTATCCGTGGAATATCCTCGATAATAGACACTAATGGTACCGATGTTTGGTGGGTGATTTCGGTGTGGTTAATGGAGAGACGTTCCGTGTTCCCGCGCTCCCGTGGAGGCCAAGACGCCTTTATCCCTGAGAGTCGCGTCTCTGTCTCTTAAAAGGCGCTTCTGGGGCGCAGGAGATCTGTGTCGCACATTTTAAATGGGTAGAGCAGGTTGGAAGTGGGGGGGAGGGGCTCTAGGAGCTGCCTCGTATGGGCCAATAGGAGCTGCCTCGTATGGACCAACAGGAGCTGCCTCGTGTGGACCAACAGGAGCTGCCTCGTGTGGACCAACAGGAGCTGCCTCGTGTGGACCAACAGGAGCTGCCTCGTGTGGACCAACAGGAGCTGCCTCGTATGGACCAACAGGAGCTGCCTCGTGTGGACCAACAGGAGCTGCCTCGTATGGACCAACAGCAGCTGCCTCGTATGGACCAACAGCAGCTGCCTCGTATGGACCAACAGCAGCTGCCTCGTATGGACCAACAGGAGCTGCCTCGTATGGACCAACAGGAGCTGCCTCGTATGGACCAACAGGAGCTGCCTCGTATGGACCAACAGGAGCTGCCTCGTATGGACCAACAGGAGCTGCCTCGTATGGACCAACAGGAGCTGCCTCGTATGGACCAACAGGAGCTGCCTCGTATGGACCAACAGGAGCTGCCTCGTATGGACCAACAGGAGCTGCCTCGTATGGACCAATCGGAGCTGCCTCGTATGGACCAATCGGAGCTGCCTCGTATGGACCAATAGGAGCTGCCTCGTATGGACCAATAGGAGCTGCCTCGTATGGACCAATAGGAGCTGCCTCGTATGGACCAATAGGAGCTGCCTCGTATGGACCAATAGGAGCTGCCTCGTATGGACCAATAGGAGCTGCCTCGTATGGACCAATAGGAGCTGCCTCGTATGGACCAATAGGAGCTGCCTCGTATGGACCAATAGGAGCTGCCTCGTATGGACCAATAGGAGCTGCCTCGTATGGACCAATAGGAGCTGCCCCGTATGGACCAATAGGTGCTGCCCCGTATGGACCAACAGGAGCTGCCTCGTATGGACCAACAGGAGCTGCCTCGTATGGACCAACAGGAGCTGCCTCGTATGGACCAACAGGAGCTGCCTCGTATGGACCAACAGGAGCTGCCTCGTATGGACCAATAGGAGCTGCCTCGTATGGACCAATAGGTGCTGCCTCGTATGGACCAATAGGAGCTGCCTCGTATGGACCAATAGGAGCTGCCTCGTATGGACCAATAGGAGCTGCCTCGTATGGACCAATAGGAGCTGCCTCGTATGGACCAATAGGAGCTGCCTCGTATGGACCAATAGCAGCTGCCTCGTGTGGACCAATAGGAGCTGCCTCGTGTGGACCAATAGGAGCTGCCTCGTATGGACCAATAGGAGCTGCCTCGTATGGACCAATAGGAGCTGCCTCGTATGGACCAATAGGAGCTGCCTCGTATGGACCAATAGGAGCTGCCTCGTATGGACCAATAGCAGCTGCCTCGTATGGACCAATAGCAGCTGCCTCGTATGGACCAATAGCAGCTGCCTCGTATGGACCAATAGGAGCTGCCTCGTATGGACCAATAGGAGCTGCCTCGTGTGGACCAATAGGAGCTGCCTCGTGTGGACCAATAGGAGCTGCCTCGTATGGACCAATAGGAGCTGCCTCGTGTGGACCAATAGGAGCTGCCTCGTGTGGACCAATAGGAGCTGCCTCGTGTGGACCAATAGGAGCTGCCTCGTATGGTCATCATATCTTCAGCCTCGTTATTGTGACTCATCGTCTGAATCATTAACTAACTTTATATTCGTTATAGATACAATCACCCACCATAGATTCACCAACTAGGTGAATAGATCTATAATGACATATATCCAGCTTCTATCACAGACTTTCAGTCTATAATCTATTACCCAAAGCCAAAGGGGGAATGGTTAGAGGTATTTAAAAGGTATCTTAGGTATTTACAAACCTTTTACACCTTTTGTAAATGGTAAAAATCATTTATTTACAGCCACACAATATGGACCAAACTCACACAAGCACTCCAATTGGGCAACCAGGCAATTTTAGTTTGTTAATCTTGTTATTCAATGAAGCTTCCCAGAGGGAGAGAGGGAGGGAGCTAACTCAGTTACAGGACTGACCAGCTGGCCGGGTCTCGACAGGACTGGCCAGCTGGCCGGGGTCTCGACAGGACTGGCCAGCTGGCCGGGGTCTCGACAGGACTGGCCAGCTGGCCGGGTCTCGACAGGACTGGCCAGCTGGCCGGGGTCTCGACAGGACTGGCCAGCTGGCCGGGGTCTCGACAGGACTGGCCAGCTGGCCGGGGTCTCGACAGGACTGGCCAGCTGGCCGGGTCTCGACAGGGCTGGCCGGGTCTCGACAGGACTGACCAGCTGGCCCGGGTCTCGACAGGACTAGCCAGCTGGCCGGGTCTCGACAGGACTAGCCAGCTGGCCGGGTCTCGACAGGACTGACCAGCTGGCCGGGTCTCGACAGGACTAGCCAGCTGGCCGGGGTCTCGACAGGACTAGCCAGCTGGCCGGGGTCTCGACAGGACTAGCCAGCTGGCCGGGGTCTCGACAGGACTAGCCAGCTGGCCGGGTCTCGACAGGACTAGCCAGCTGGCCGGGTCTCGACAGGACTAGCCAGCTGGCCGGGTCTCGACAGGACTAGCCAGCTGGCCGGGGTCTCGACAGGACTTTCACAGGAATGTTTCAATCCAATTAACAAATTCTTTAAGCTTTGCTCCTTTTTCTTATTCTTACCCCATTTGTTTATCCCATTTTCTTATTCATACCCCATTTGTTTATCCCATTTTCTTATTCTTACCCCATTTGTTTATCCCATTTTCTTATTCTTACCCCATTTGTTTATCCCATTTTCTTATTCATACCCCATTTGTTTATCCCATTTTCTTATTCTTACCCCATTTGTTTATCCCATTTTCTTATTCATACCCCATTTGTTTATCCCATTTTCTTATTCTTACCCCATTTGTTTATCCCATTTTCTTATTCTTACCCCATTTGTTTATCCCATTTTCTTATTCATACCCCATTTGTTTATCCCATTTTCTTATTCATACCCATTTTCTCATCCTTAACTACCTCTTATTATCATCTTATTCTTAATATTCATCTTATTCTTACATTTTTCTCTCACCTGTCCCTCCCTCCCTCCTCTCACACGATAGAGCCCAATAGGCTCGACAGGAACCTGTACACCAGTTGACTGGCAGTAGAGAGGCGGGACCAAAGAGCCACAGTTCAACCCCCCGCAAGCACAACTAGGTGAACACGCCTTAGGTCCGACCGAATCGACGTCGTTCCGTCACTCCGACGCGTCGTACCTGTCACAGGCTGTAGAACAACGCTGAAAACGCAGTACAGGTAAAGCACAGGAAGGACGTGTGGTAAGGGGGGGGGGGTACTCACTGAGAGGCGTCGTCCGACGTCGTGGAGGTCGTGGAGGTCCGACGACGTAGCTCCTCGAGCTTGTCCTCCAGGAGACTGATCTTGTGAGTGGCCTCCGTCTCCGCTACCCGCAGCGCCCGGACCTGTAACACACACCTGACTCTCAGACACCTGCTGGGGCTCTTACACACCTGACTCTCAGACACCTGCTGGGGCTCTTACACACCTGACTCTCAGACACCTGGTACACCTGCTACACACATCTGACTCTCAGACACCTGCTGGGGCTCTTACACACCTGACTCTCAGACACCTGGTACACCTGCTACACACATCTGACTCTCAGACACCTGGTGGGGCTCTTACACACCTGACTCTCAGACACCTGGTACACCTGCTACACACATCTGACTCTCAGACACCTGGTGGGGCTCTTACACACCTGACTCTCAGACATCTGCTGGGGCTCTTACACACCTGACTCTCAGACGCCTGGTACACCTGCTACACACATCTGACTCTCAGACACCTGGTGGGGCTCATACACACCTGACTCTCAGACACCTGGTACACCTGCTACACACATCTGACTCTCAGACACCTGCTGGGACTCTTACACACCTGACTCTCAGACACCTGGTACACCTGCTACACACATCTGACTCTCAGACACCTGGTGGGGCTCATACACACCTGACTCTCAGACATCTGCTGGGGCTCTTACACACCTGACTCTCAGACACCTGGTACACCTGCTACACACATCTGACTCTCAGACACCTGGTGGGGCTCTTACACACCTGACTCTCAGACACCTGGTACACCTGCTACACACATCTGACTCTCAGACACCTGGTGGGGCTCATACACACCTGACTCTCAGACACCTGGTACACCTGCTACACACATCTGACTCTCAGACACCTGGTGGGGCTCTTACACACCTCACTCTCAGCCTGGTGGGTCTCTTACACACCTGAGTACCACACCTGGTACACCTGCAACACACACCTGACTCCGCCCCCCATGATCCCAATCGAGATAAAAATCATAATCCAATATTTTGCAACTGCAAAATAATTGAGCACGCGCGCACGCGCGCGTGCGTGTCTGTGGGGGGGGAGGGGGTGTTACAGTGTGTTGAACACCCTTCAAATGTTCACCTCTTGTGAACATAACATCACGTAATGTTCACTCTAGTTCAACTGAACGCTTCAGTGATTATTATTTGAAATCAATTTTAATCAATTTTTAATCAATTTTCAAAATTTTCCTTTTAAGAGGAGAAAACTTTAAGCAAGATTCACGATACAACATTTAGAAGGGATATGAGGACCAGGAGCTGGGATATGAGGACCAGGAGCTGGGATATGAGGACAAGGAGCTGGGATATGAGGACCAGGAACTGGGATATGAGGACAAGAAACTGGGATATGAGGACCAGGAGCTGGGATATGAGGACCAGGAGCTGGGATATGAGGACCAGGAGCTGGGGTATGAGGACCAGGAGCTGGGAAATGAGGACCAGGAGCTGGGAAATGAGGACAAGAAGCTGGGGTATGAGGACCAGGAGCTGGGATATGAGGACCAGGAGCTGGCATATGAGGACAAGGATCTGGGATATGAAGACAAGGAGCTGGGATATGAGGACAAGGAGCTGGGATATGAGGACCAGGAGCTGGGATATGAGGACCAGGAGCTGGGATATGAGGACCAGGAGCTGGGGTATGAGGACCAGGAGCTGGGGTATGAGGACCAGGAGCTGGGGTATGAGGACCAGGAGCTGGGGTATGAGGACCAAGAGCTGGGGTATGAGGACCAGGAGCTGGGGTATGAGGACCAGGAGCTGGGGTATGAGGACCAGGAACTGGGATATGAAGACCAGGAACTGGGATATGAAGACAAGGAGCTGGGATATGAAGACAAGGAGCTGGGATATGAAGACAAGGATCTGGGATATGAAGACAAGGAGCTGGAATATGAGGACCAGGAGCTGGGGTATGAGGACCAGGAGCTGGGGTATGAGGACCAGGAGCTGGGGTATGAGGACCAGGAGCTGGGGTATGAGGACCAGGAGCTGGGGTATGAGGACCAGGAGCTGGGGTATGAGGACCAGGAGCTGGGATATGAGGACCAGGAACTGGGATATGAAGACAAGGAGCTGGGATATGAAGACAAGGAGCTGGGATATGAAGACAAGGATCTGGGATATGAAGACAAGGAGCTGGGATATGAGGACCAGGAACTGGGATATGAAGACAAGGAACTGGGATATGAAGACAAGGATCTGGGATATGAAGACAAGGATCTGGGATATGAAGACAAGGAGCTGGGATATGAGGACCAGGAACTGGGATATGAGGACCAGGAGCTGGGATATGAGGACCAGGAACTGGGATATGAAGACAAGGAGCTGGGATATGAAGACAAGGAGCTGGGATATGAGGACCAGGAACTGGGATATGAGGACCAGGAACTGGGATATGAAGACAAGGAGCTGGGATATGAGGACCAGGAACTGGGATATGAAGACAAGGAGCTGGGATACAAGCCGATAACACCTCGACGCGCTAATATTTAAATATTTCAACTTTGCATTTATCACACAACCTGAGTGGAATTCAATTGTTGAACTGAATACCGCAGAGGCAACACGGCAGACACTGTGGCTAGTGAAGCAACAGCACTTGTGTGTGATAAAGACCCGGCTGTGTAGCGGTAAATGGTTTTCAATACTTGTCTGGCATAGCCGCAAGGCGACCTTCGCACGGCTTATGGCCCTCTTGCTCTCACCCGCTCCTGCCTGCTCCACAGCAGTTTTATATATATATATATATATATATATATATATATATATATATATATATATATATATATATATATATATATATATATATGAACATGATCAAGGTAAACCCAGCACACAGCCACAAGCTCAACTAGGTGAGTACATTTCATTCAAAGACTTCCTTCCCTTGGGACCAGCTCCCTCCCTTGGGACCAGCTCCCTCCCTAGGGACCAGCTCCCTCCCTTGGGCCCACCTCCCTCCCTAGGGACCAGCTCCCTCCCTTGGGCCCACCTCCCTCCCTAGGGACCACCTCCCTCCCTAGGGACCACCTCCCTCCCTAGGGACCACCTCCCTCCCTTGGGACCACCTCCCTCCCTTGGGACCAGCTCCCTCCCTTGGGACCAGCTCCCTCCCTTGGGACCAGCTCCCTCCCTAGGGACCACCTCCCTCCCTAGGGACCACCTCCCTCCCTAGGGCCCACCTCCCTCCCTAGGGCCCACCTCCCTCCCTAGGGACCACCTCCCTCCCTAGGGACCACCTCCCTCCCTAGGGACCACCTCCCTCCCTAGGGCCCACCTCCCTCCCTAGGGCCCACCTCCCTCCCTAGGGACCACCTCCCTCCCTAGGGACCACCTCCCTTCCTTGGGACCACCTCCCTCCCTAGGGCCCACCTCCCTCCCTAGGGACCACCTCTCTCCCTAGGGACCACCTCCCTCCCTAGGGACCACCTCCCTCCCTAGGGACCGGCCTAGCCTCACCTTCTTCTTGAACTCGTCGTTGAGTCTGGCAGCGTCCTCGTGGCCCCGCTTGGCCAGGCCCAGTTCCTTCTTGAGGTCGGCCTCAGTCCTCCTGTGGACCTCCTTCACCTTCTCCATCTGCACAAGACATCAACCTTATTAATGACCTCCTCCGTGAAACCTTTATGCAACCTTAATACAACGCTTATGCAACGTTCATGCACGTTAAAACAACGTTAATACAACGCCTATGCAACGTTCATGCACGTTAAAACAACGTTAATACAACGACTATGCAACGTTCATGCACGTTAAAATAACCTTAATACAACACTTATGCAACGTTCATGTACGTTAAAACAACGTTTATGCAACGTTCATGCACGTTAAAACAACGTTTATGCAACGTTCATGCACGTTAAAACAACGTTAATACAATGCTTATGCAACGTTCATGCACGTTAAAACAACGTTAATACAATGCTTATGCAACGTTCATGCACGTTAAAACAACGTTATGAACCGTTCATGCAACATCAACACATCGTTTATGTAACGTTTAAACAACATTTAGGCAACGTACATGAAACATTATAACGCGCATACAACGTTTATGAAACTGATACAACGTTTATGCAACGTTAATATAGTGTTTATGCAACGTTCATACGTTTATTACAAATATAATGTCATGACCTCTTGACCCCCAGGCAGCCCCGCTGGCCAAGGGCCTGGCCAAGGGCCTGGCCAAGTGTCAACAAGTGTCTCCGGTAAGTTTAAAAGGCTGGTTAAAACAGCAACAGTTTACTGGGACATATAAACAGTTCACCGGAAAACAATGAGGAACTAAAGCTCTCTGTATACAACTGATATACTCAAGTATACAACTGGTATACTCGAGTATACAACTGATATACTCAAGTATACAACTGATACACTTAAGTATACAACTGATATACTCAAGTATACAACTGATATACACGAGTATACAACTGATATCATCAAGTATACAACTGATACTCTAATCAGAACAAGGAGCTTCAACACAGCTCTCGTAATCACTTTAAGGAACATCAAGGAACTTAAACACAACTCTGGCAATCAGTCACAGGCATTAACTGGCCCCACTCGGGACAGGCAGACACCAGGCTCCAACCCGGCGCAGTGCTACACTGACCCAAGTAACAGGCTGGTAGTGACGTCATACATTAATAAATTAACCTTTTATGAGTAATTAATAATACATACGGTAGTCTGACCCACTAAACAGCATTATCTTAATAGATTAGTAATCAATAATTTGATTACTAATTAGTATTACAATAAATTACGACATAGGTCAAGAGTTGGACGTCTCACCTCCGCCAATCTGGCCCTTCAAGAAAGTGGTAACGAGAGAACCAGGCCATTATCCTCTTACGGTAGCACGCCGAGGAGCACAGTACATATACCCACTTACACAGAGATTAGAAAGTAGAAATCTGAACTATTGTGATGAAATGGGAAACTATTTTTGGCATGTGTTATCTAAAGATATCTGCCAGCATCGTTACACTCGCGGCTTGACTGATGCCTCCAGGCAGCATCATCATCTCAGGAGCGGCTGCAATACGTCAGGCAGCATCTTCATCTCAGGAGCGGCTGCAATACGCCAGGCAGCATCATCATCTCAGGAGCAGCTGCAATACGCCAGGCAGCATCTCAGGAGCGGCTGCAATACGCCAGGCAGCATCAACATCTCAGGAGCGGCTGCAATACGCCAGGCAGCATCATCATCTCAGGAGCGGCTGCAATACGCCAGGCAGCATCATCATCTCAGGAGCGGCTGCAATACGTCAGGCAGCATCATCATCTCAGGAGCGGCTGCAATACGCCAGGCAGCATCATCATCTCAGGAGCGGCTGCAATACGTCAGGCAGCATCATCATCTCAGGGGCGGCTGCAATACGCCAGGCAGCAGCATCATCTCAGGAGCGGCTGCAATACGCCAGGCAGCAGCATCATCTCAGGAGGGGCTGCAATACGCCAGGCAGCATCATCTCAGGAGCGGCTGCAATACGCCAGGCAGCATCATCATCTCAGGAGCGGCTGCAATACGTCAGGCAGCAGCAGCATCTCAGGAGAAGCTGCAATACGCCAGGCAGCATCTTCATCTCAGGAGCGGCTGCAATACGTCAGGCAGCAGCATCTCAGGAGCGGCTGCAATACGTCAGGCATCATCATCAACATCCCAGGAGCGGGTGCAATACGCCAGGCATCATCATCCCAGGAGCGGGTGCAATACGCCAGGCATCATCATCCCAGGAGCGGGTGCAATACGCCAGGCATCATCATCCCAGGAGCGGGTGCAATACGCCAGGCAGCATCTTCATCCCAGGAGCGGCTGCAATACGTCAGGCAGCATCATCTCAGGAGCGGCTGCAATACGCCAGACAGCATCATCTCAGGAGCGGCTGCAATACGCCAGGCATCATCATCCCAGGAGAAGCTGCAATACGCCAGGCAGCAGCATCATCATCCCAGGAGAAGCTGCAATACGCCAGGCAGCATCATCATCCCAGGAGAAGCTGCAATACGCCAGGCAGCATCATCATCCCAGGAGAAGCTGCAATACGCCAGGCAGCATCCTGATAATCCCTCATCTCTCCATCAGGACATTTACCACTAATGGTCCACTGATCTAGATAAATCCCCCAATGTCTCCTTCACCAGCTTCCTCCAACCCGGCACTTCCGTAGCCCGGCACTTCCGTAGCCCCGGCACCTGTAGCCCCGGCACCTGTAGCCCCGGCACCTGTAGCCCCGGCACCTGTAGCCCCGGCACCTGTAGCCCCGGCACCTGTAGCACGGCACCTGTATCCCGACAACAAGGGCTGCAACACCGTCGTGACGCTGGTGGTCTTACTGTTATGTAAGGCCAACATTCTCAAAGTTCCGCACCTGGCCCAACTCCGTGGACTACCAGTAGTTGCCACCCGTAGAAAACTGAGCTGAGGATGGATTACAGCTCTTGCTTGCAGTTTCACCAGGTTCCTTATATGATAGTTCCCTATATGATAGTCTCAAAGTACATTCTCATGAAATAAATGAGTTCGTAGGAGCAGGCTTGAGATGAGCTGGGGTAGGATAACAGCTCTTGCTTGCAGTTACACCAGGTACGTAATTTGACAGCCCTTATGAACCCTAGTCTTAGTCTCTCTCCAAGAGAGAGACACCCCCAGAGAGAGAGAGAGAGACCCAGAGAGAGAGAGAGAGACCCAGAGAGAGAGAGAGAGACCCAGAGAGAGAGAGAGAGACCCAGAGAGAGAGAGAGAGAGACCCAGAGAGAGAGAGAGAGACCCAGAGAGAGAGAGAGAGACACAGAGAGAGAGAGAGAGACCCAGAGAGAGAGAGAGAGACCCAGAGAGAGAGAGAGAGACCCAGAGAGAGAGAGAGAGACCCAGAGAGAGAGAGAGAGACCCAGAGAGAGAGAGAGAGACCCAGAGAGAGAGAGAGAGACCCAGAGAGAGAGAGAGAGACAGAGAGAGAGAGAGAGAGACCTAGAGAGAGAGAGAGAGAGTGAGAGAGAGAGAGAGAGAGAGAGAGAGAGAGAGAGACCCAGAGAGAGAGAGAGAGACCCAGAGAGAGAGAGAGAGAGAGACCCAGAGAGAGAGAGACCCAGAGAGAGAGAGAGAGACCCAGAGAGAGAGAGACCCAGAGAGAGAGAGAGACCCAGAGAGAGAGAGAGAGACCCAGAGAGAGAGAGAGAGACCCAGAGAGAGAGAGAGAGAGAGACAGGGAGCCAGAGACAGAGAGAGAGACCCAGAGAGAGAGAGAGAGAGAGACAGAGACAGGGAGACAGAGAGAGAGACAGAGAGACAGGGCCCACCACCAAACACCTCCATATAATCACCACAGGCACCCGTGACGGGAGGCACCACCAGAGTCTCTCAACATTGTGGCAGAGTGCCACCGACGCCCCCCACACAACAATATCTATATCCTGAATACTTGATGAACTGTTACGGCCAGAACACCAGGCAGAACACCAGGCAGAACACCGGGCAGAACACCAGGCAGAACACCGGGCAGAACACCAGGCAGAACACGGGCAGAACACCAGACAGAACACCAGGCAGAACACCGGGTAGAACACCGGGCAGAACACCAGGCAGAACACGGCCATAACACCAGGCAGAACACCAGGCAGAACACCAGGCAGAACACCGGGCAGAACACCAGGCAGAACACCGGGCAGAACACCGGGCAGAACACCAGGCAGAACACGGCCATAACACCAGGCAGAACACGGCCATAACACCAGACAGAACACCAGGCAGAACACGGGCATACCACCAGGCAGAACACGGGCATAACACCAGGCAGAACACGGGCATAACACCAGGCAGAACACCAGGCAGAACACGGGCAGAACACCAGACAGAACACCAGACAGAACACCAGGCAGAACACGGGCATAACACCAGACAGAACACCAGGCAGAACACGGGCAGAACACCAGACAGAACACGGCCATAACACCAGACAGAACACGGGCATAACACCAGGCAGAACACGGGCATAACACCAGGCAGAACACCAGGCAGAACACCAGACAGAACACCAGACAGAACACGGGCATAACACCAGACAGAACACGGCCATAACACCAGACAGAACACGGGCATAACACCAGACAGAACACGGGCATAACACCAGACAGAACACGGGCATAACACCAGACAGAACACGGCCATAACACCAGACAGAACACGGCCATAACACCAGACAGAACACCAGGCAGAACACGGGCATAACACCAGGCAGAACACGGGCATAACACCAGACAGAACACGGCCATAACACCAGACAGAACACGGCCATAACACCAGACAGAACACGGCCATAACACCAGACAGAACACGGCCATAACACCAGACAGAACACGACCATAACACCAGACAGAACACGACCATAACACCAGACAGAACACGACCATAACACCAGGCAGAACACGACCATAACACCAGACAGAACACCAGACAGAACACGACCATAACACCAGGCAGAACACGGCCATAACACCAGACAGAACACGACAATAACACCAGACAGAACACGGCCATAACACCAGACAGAACACGACCATAACACCAGACAGAACACCAGACAGAACACGGCCATAACACCAGGCAGAACACGACCATAACACCAGACAGAACACGACCATAACACCAGACAGAACACGACCATAACACCAGGCAGAACACGGCCATAACACCAGACAGAACACGACCATAACACCAGACAGAACACCAGACAGAACACGACCATAACACCAGGCAGAACACGGCCATAACACCAGACAGAACACGACCATAACACCAGACAGAACACGACCATAACACCAGGCAGAACACGGCCATAACACCAGACAGAACACGGCCATAACACCAGACAGAACACGGCCATAACACCAGACAGAACACGACCATAACACCAGACAGAACACCAGACAGAACACGACCATAACACCAGGCAGAACACGGCCATAACACCAGACAGAACACGACCATAACACCAGGCAGAACACGGCCATAACACCAGGCAGAACACGGCCATAACACCAGGCAGAACACGACCATAACACCAGGCAGAACACGACCATAACACCAGGCAGAACACGGCCATAACACCAAACAGAACACGGCCATAACAGACAGAACACGGCGATAACACCAGACAGAACACGGCAATAACACCAGGCAGAACACGGCCGTAACACCAGGCAGAACACGGCCAGAACTCCAGGCAGAACACGGCCAGAACACCAGGCAGAACACGGCCATAACACCAGACAGAACACGGCCATAACACCAGACAGAACACGGCCATAACACCAGACAGAACACGGCCATAACACCAGACAGAACACGGCCATAACACCAGACAGAACACGGCCATAACACTAGACAGAACACGACCATAACACCAGGCAGAACACGGCCATAACACCAGACAGAACACGGCCATAACACCAGGCAGAACACGGCCATAACACCAGGCAGAACACGGCCATAACACCAGGCAGAACACGGCCATAACACCAGGCAGAACACGGGCAGAACACCAGACAGAACACCAGGCAGAACACGGCCATAACACCAGACAGAACACGGCCATAACACCAGACAGAGCACGGCCATAACACCAGGCAGAACACGGCCATAACACCAGGCAGAACACGGCCATAACACCAGGCAGAACACGGCCATAACACCAGACAGAACACGGCCATAACACCAGGCAGAACACGGCCATAACACCAGGCAGAACACGGCCATAACACCAGGCAGAACACGGCCATAACACCAGGCAGAACACCAGGCAGAACACGGCCATAACACCAGACAGAACACGAGAAATAACTCGAGATCTATTCTGGAGATACTGTAGTGTGAGTGAAAATATTGACCACATGAGGGGAAGTAATGAGGGGAAGTAATGAGGGGAAGTAATGAAGTGGAAGAAAGTTCAGCGCTGTGAGGTTCCCTTCACCAAGGTCCTGAAGGCTGACCGGATAGTGTGTACCTTTGGTATGAGGTTATGAGGGCGAGTGAGGTGTGAGGGGGGGTAGAAAGTGAGGTATGAGGGAGCCACAAGTGCAGCAGACTACTCACATCTTGCGCCGCAGACTCCTCACTTCTCTTGAGCTTCTCCAGCCAGGTCTTCTCCAGTCTCTGCTTGGCTCTGCTCTCCGCCATCTTGGCCTCCAGTTCAAACTTTCCCGCCCATTCCTTCTCCCTGTTCTTCAACTTCTGCTGCGCCTCCTGGGCCTCCGCCTTGGCCTCCTCGTTCTCCACGCTCAGGGTCATGATCTCCTCCTGCAGGCTGCGCTCAGCGCTCGTCAGCTGCTTCACGCGCAGTTCGAGGTCTCCTTTCATCCTCTGGAGGAGTTCGAAGTCTCTTGAGAGCTGCCTCAACTTCTCTCTCTCTTCCCGCATCAGTCTCTCGGCTTCGTTCTTCTCCTGACCCTGTTGCTTGTTGGCGCTCTCCACCGAACTCAGTCTCATCTTCAGGGTTCGAGTCTTGTTGTCCAGATCGGCGGTCTTCTGCTGCAGCTGCTCCTCCAGCTCCTGGACCCGCATTTCGTACTCGATGCTCGAGCGCTCCATCCTGCTCCGGGCGACGGCCACTTCGCTCTTCTGATTATCGTTCTGTAAGGATGATCTGAGTGTTAGTACACGTGGAATAGGTTCGCGAGGTTCAGGCAACTGTAGTGGGGTGCAGAGTGTGTATAGTTATGCCCTCACTATAGGCCTATATACAGTCTCCCTGTCCCCGAAAACTAGAATTATTAAACATCAACCATTCCCCCCCTACTGAGGTACCTGGCTAGTTGTTCCATCAATCAACACATTTATAAACCAGTATTTACCCAGGACTTTTCTAAATCTAAAATTAATCCAATTTATATCCATTGTATCGTGTTGAATTACACCCCTGAGACCCCAGGACCCCCCAGGTCCCACCCCTGAGACCCCAGGGACCCCCAGGTCCTACCCCTAGACCCCCCAGGTCCTACCCCTGAGACCCCAGACCCCCCAGGTCACACCCCTGAGACCCCATAGTCCCCCAGCTCCTGGTCCTCATACCCCCAGCTCCTGGTCCTCATACCCCAGCTCCTGGTCCTCATACCCCAGCTCCTGGTCCTCATACCCCAGCTCCTGGTCCTCATACCCCAGCTCCTGGTCCTCATACCCCCAGCTCCTGGTCCTCATACCCCCAGCTCCTGGTCCTCACACCCCAGCTCCTGGTCCTCATACCCCCAGCTCCTGGTCCTCATACCCCCAGCTCCTGGTCCTCACACCCCAGCTCCTGGTCCTCATATCCCAGCTCCTGGTCCTCATACCCCCAGCTCCTGGTCCTCATACCCCCAGCTCCTGGTCCTCACACCCCAGCTCCTGGTCCTCATATCCCAGCTCCTGGTCCTCATACACCCAGCTCCTGGTCCTCATACCCCAGCTCCTGGTCCTCATACCCCAGCTCCTGGTCCTCATACCCCAGCTCCTGGTCCTCATACCCCAGCTCCTGGTCCTCATACCCCAGCTCCTGGTCCTCATACCCCCAGCTCCTGGTCCTCTTACCCCCAGCTCCTGGTCCTCATACCCCAGCTCCTGGTCCTCATACCCCCAGCTCCTGGTCCTCATACCCCAGCTCCTGGTCCTCATACCCCCAGCTCCTGGTCCTCTTACCCCCAGCTCCTGGTCCTCATACCCCAGCTCCTGGTCCTCATACCCCCAGCTCCTGGTCCTCATACCCCCAGCTCCTGGTCCTCTTACCCCCAGCTCCTGGACCTCATACCCCAGCTCCTGGTCCTCTTACCCCCAGCTCCTGGACCTCATACCCCAGCTCCTGGTCCTCTTACCCCCAGCTCCTGGTCCTCATACCCCAGCTCCTGGACCTCATACCCCAGCTCCTGGTCCTCATACCCCAGCTCCTGGACCTCATACCCCAGCTCCTGGTCCTCTTACCCCCAGCTCCTGGACCTCATACCCCAGCTCCTGGTCCTCATACCCCAGCTCCTGGTCCTCATACCCCAGCTCCTGGACCTCATACCCCAGCTCCTGGTCCTCATACCCCCAGCTCCTGGTCCTCATACCCCAGCTCCTGGTCCTCATACCCCAGCTCCTGGACCTCATACCCCAGCTCCTGGACCTCATACCCCAGCTCCTGGTCCTCTTACCCCCAGCTCCTGGACCTCATACCCCAGCTCCTGGTCCTCATACCCCAGCTCCTGGTCCTCTTACACATGGCCAAAAGTGTACGAAACTGGGCCATGTTGTCGACTGTCTGAAAGCGTCGTTATTGCGGTGTTCTGAGAGTAAGATCGATATAGACTTGCAATTGCAGTGCATTGAGTGCTACTCTACCTCCTGAAGAGCTCCTTCAGGAGCCCCGGCGTTCAGAGGGACTCACAGACCAAGCACTCACGTCTCTGAGTGCAAGTAATGAGTGCATCTGTGTGAGGGACACTCCCAGCTCCCTTACCCCTCACAGTTTGTGTGTGTGTGTGTGTGTGTGTGTGTGTGTGTGTGTGTGTGTGTGTGTGTGTGTGTGTGTGTGTGTGTGTGTGTGTATATATATATATATGTCGTACCTAATAGCCAGAACGCACTTCTCAGCCTACTATTCAAGGCCCGATTTGCCTAATAAGGCAAGTTTTCATGAATTAATGTTTTTTCGTCTACCTAACCTACCTAACCTAACCTAACCTAGCTTTTTTTGGCTACTTAACCTAACCTTACCTATAAATATAGGTTAGGTTAGGTTAGGTAGGGTTGGTTAGGTTCGGTCATATATCAACGTTAATTTTAACTCCAATAAAAAAAAATTGACCTCATACATAGAGAAAAGGGTTGCTTTATCATTTCATAAGAAAAAAAATATAGTAAATATATTAATTCAGGAAAACTTGGCTTATTAGGCAAATTGGGCCTTGAATAGTAGGCTGAGAAGTGAGTTCTGGCTACTAGGTACGACATATATATATATATATATATATATATATATATATATATATATATATATATATATATATATATATATATATATGACCATTTTTCCTGTATATCAACCAGACATAAATAATTGATATGCAAATTATGAAATCGTTTGTCACTGTTATAAGAGCCTCCTATATTATGAATGTTTCCAATGGCAGCGAGGGAATTGTGAATGTATTATTAATCATTAATTTATATTAATATCCGGGAAACCGTAAGTATTTGGGGACGGGTATACCGTCGCTCTCAGGGGGGGGGGACAGGTATACCGTCGCTCTCAGGGGGGGGGACAGGTGATACTGTCGCTCTCAGGGGGGGGGACAGGTATACCGTCGCTCTCAGGGGGGGACAGGTATACCGTCGCTCTCAGCGGGGGGGGGACAGGTGATACTGTCGCTCTCAGGGGGGGGGACAGGTATACCGTCGCTCTCAGGGGGGGACAGGTATACCGTCGCTCTCAGGGGGGGACAGGTGATACCGTCGCTCTCAGGGGGGGGGGGGACAGGTATACCGTCGCTCTCAGGGGGGGGGGGAGAGGTATACCGTCGCTCTCAGGGGGGGGGGGACAGGTATACCGTCGCTCTCAGGGGGGGACGGGTATACCGTCGCTCTCAGGGGGGGACAGGTATACCGTCGCTCTCAGGGGGGGGGACAGGTATACCGTCGCTCTCAGGGGGGGACGGGTATACCGTCGCTCTCAGGGGGGGACAGGTATACCGTCGCTCTCAGGGGGGGGGGACAGGTATACCGTCGCTCTCAGGGGGGTACGGGTATACCGTCGCTCTCAGGGGGGGGAACAGGTATACCGTCGCTCTCAGGGGGGGGGACAGGTGATACCGTCGCTCTCAGGGGGGGGGGACAGGTGATACCGTCGCTCTCAGGGGACGGTGTGGCTGGACCCGTCAGAGCTGTAGACGGGCGCTACGAATTTTTGTTCATTCGGTGAAATACGTCTCTACTCAGAGGAACAAAATGGCGCCCATTTGAACGGGTGGTGGCAGAGTGCACGAGAATGTTCCCCGTCTTGATCTGATTTATGTTCAAGTCTTAGATGGGAGGGAGCGAGGCACGCCCCCTCTCTCCCCTCCCTCTACCTCTCTCTCCCCTCCCTCTACCTCTCTCTCCCCTCCCTCTACCTCTCTCTCTCTCCCTCTCTCCCTCTCTCCCTCCCTCTCTCTCTCCCTCTCTCCCTCCTTCTCCTTCCCTCCCTCCCATCTCCCCCCATCATCTTCAGACATGTAACCCATCACCATCCATCACTATGTCAGTTTTTCTCCTACCAAAACAAAAATAACAATTTTCCCGCCAAAATTGTTTCCCGCCATCAGAAATCAGCTGATCTTTGTTTACATTAATTATGAAATTAATTCTCGCGGTCATTTTTTAGGTCTGGGCTTCACAGGATCATAACAGAGTCCATCTTAAAGTCGTCCTGTTGATCCCTGCCTGTGATGGATCTCCTGGGGGATGCTGGTTGAGGGAAACCGGTTTGGCACTGGTTCTGGTTTTATTAAGCAGTTCCGAGTGAGAGGCATTGATGAAGGGAGATCCTGGGGGCATTAAACTTGTTATTGCAGAGGACTGAAGCTATTGATGGGGTGATGGGGCGATCCTGGTGATGGGGGGGGGGTTAATGGGGTGATCCTGGTAGGGCCAAACAGTCGCAATTTGTTACGTACTAACAAATCTAGAGAACCTCACGTTCTTCTCCAACCCCTCACAGTATGAGGATGAGAACCTACCTCATTCTTGAGCTTCCTGATCTCACTCCTGAGGCCCTCCTCGACGGAGTCCCACTGGCTCTTCCACTCCACCACCTTGGCCTTGAGTCGAGCCTCGAACTCCTCCTCCTTGTCCTCCAGATGACGCTCAAGTGCCTCCACCTTGGCTGCCTCGTCCTTCAGCTGGCTCTCCATCTCCCTCCTGGCGCACCTGAGGCCCGGAGAACACTCTTACTATGGGAGAACATTGTTATAGTGGGAGAACACTCACACACAGTGGAAGAACATTGAACAGAACAGGAAAGAGGGACTTGCTATTCATACTATCAAAAGCTACAGTTCTTCACTAAGTCTTCACTTAGTCTAAGCTAAGTCTTCACTAAGTGTGGATGACTTCTAACCGACAGTTAGAAGTCATCCATACGGTAACCTCTCCCATCCGCCTCTCATCCTATCCACTTGATCCACTCCTATCCCTTTAAGCCCAACCCAAATTCTTCGCTTTCTCTAAGAACCTCTTCCATCGTGGGATGTTTCCAGGGGGCCCCTTACCCTACTAAAATGTTTCTAGGGGGTCCCTTACCCTACTAAAATGTTTCCAGGGGGCCCCTTACCCTGCTAAAATGTTTCCAAGGGGCCCCTTACCCTGCTAAAATGTTTCCAGGGGGCCCCTTACCCTGCTAAAATGTTTCCAGGGGGCCCCTTACCCTGCTAAAATGTTTCCAGGGGGCCCCTTACCCTGCTAAAATGTTTCCAGGGGGCCCCTTACCCTGCTAAAATGTTTCCAGGGGGCCCCTTACCCTGCTAAAATGTTTCCAGGGGGCCCCTTACCCTGCTAAAATGTTTTCAGGGGGCCCCTTACCCTGCTAAAATGTTTCCAGGGGGCCCCTTACCCTGCTAAAATGTTTCCAGGGGGCCCCTTACCCTGCTAAAATGTTTCCAGGGGGGCCCTTACCCTGCTAAAATGTTTCCAGGGGGGCCCTTACCCTGCTAAAATGTTTCCAGGGGGGCCCTTACCCTGCTAAAATGTTTCCAGGGGGCCCCTTACCCTGCTAAAATGTTTCCAGGGGGCCCCTTACCCTGCTAAAATGTTTCCAGGGGGCCCCTTACCCTGCTAAAATGTTTCCAGGGGGCCCCTTACCCTGCTAAAATGTTTCCAGGGGGCCCCTTACCCTGCTAAAATGTTTCCAGGGGGGCCCTTACCCTGCTAAAATGTTTCCAGGGGGGCCCTTATCCTGCTAAAATGTTTCCAGGGGGCCCTTATCCTGCTAAAATGTTTCCAGGGGGCCCTTACCCTGCTAAAATGTTTCCAGGGGGACCTGTCCCTCCTAAAATGGTTTCAGGGCGCCCTTACCCTCCTAAAATGGTTTCAGGGCGCCCTTACCCTCCTAAAATGTTTCCAGGGGCGCCCTTACCCTCCTAAAATGTTTCCAGGGGCGCCCTTACCCTCCTAAAATGTTTCCAGGGCGCCCTTACCCTCCTAAAATGTTTCCAGGGACCCCCCTTACCCTCCTAAAATGTTTCCAGGGCCCCCTTACCCTCCTAAAATCTTTCCAGGGGGCCCCTTACCACGCCATTCGGGGTACTACCTGACCCTCTCCTCCTCTGGCATAATACCCATCCCGGGTATTATGGTGTCTGGTGTCCTGTCTATCGGGTCCTGTCTATGGTGTCTGCTGTCGTGTCTAAGGCTCGGGTCTGGTGTCCTGCCTATCCCTCCTCACTCTCCCAACACACTCCTACCCCCCCCCCCTCTCTCTCCCTCTCTCTCCCTCTCTCTCCCTCTCTCTCCCTCTCTCTCTCTCTCTCTCTCTCTCTCTCTCTCTCTCTCTCTCTCTCTCTCTCTCTCTCTCTCTCTCTCTCTCCCTCTCTCTCTCTCTCCTCTCTCTCTCTCCCTCTCTCTCTCTCTCTCTCCCTCTCTCTCTCTCTCTCTCTCTCTCTCTCTCTCTCTCTCTCTCTCTCTCTCTCTCTCTCTCTCTCTCTCTCTCCTCACCTGAGACGGTCCTCACTATCCTCCTCAGATATTCTCCTCTCCTCGTGAAGGGATCGGATCCTCACTTCATAGTCTCTCCTCTCCTGGCTGAAGCGCAGGGCGTTATCCCTCGCCTCCTGCTCCTTCAGCTTCACCTTCATCTGAAACAGACAATCTTATTCATCTCCTTGAAGATGCACGGTCCAAGACGCTGCCACAAGATGCCCTGGTGACGGGGGGAACAGTATAGGAGGGGAGGGTAGGTCAGGGCTGGTGTGCCCAAGCTGTTCTGTGGTAACCAGTAAACTTTACAGCTGATGTGCTGATGGACTGGCAACACCTGGCAACACTTACACCTGACATAACCCAGGGTACTAACACCTGGCAACACTTACACCTGACATAACCCTGGGTACTAACACCTGGCAACACTTATACCTGACATAACCCTGGGTACTAACACCTGACAACACTTATACCTGACATAACCCAGGGTACTAACACCTGGCAACACTTACACCTGACATAACCCTGGGTACTAACACCTGGCAACACTTACACCTGACATAACCCTGGGTACTAACACCTGGCAACACTTACACCTGACATAACCCTGGGTACTAACACCTGGCAACACTTATACCTGACATAACCCTGGGTACTAACACCTGGCAACACTTATACCTGACATAACCCAGGGTACTAACACCTGGCAACACTTACACCTGACATAACCCTGGGTACTAACACCTGGCAACACTTACACCTGACATAACCCTGGGTACTAACACCTGGCAACACTTACACCTGACATAACCCTGGGTACTAACACCTGGCAACACTTATACCTGACATAACACTGGGTACTAACACCTGGCAACACTTACACCTGACATAACCCTGGGTACTAACACCTGGCAACACTTACACCTGACATAACCCTGGGTACTAACACCTGGCAACACTTACACCTGACATAACCCTGGGTACTAACACCTGGCAACACTTACACCTGACATAACCCAGGGTACTAACACCTGGCAACACTTACACCTGACATAACCCTGGGTACTAACACCTGGCAACACTTACACCTGACATAACCCTGGGTACTAACACCTGGCAACACTTACACCTGACATAACCCAGGGTACTAACACCTGGCAACACTTACACCTGACATAACCCTGGGTACTAACACCTGGCAACACTTACACCTGACATAACCCTGGGTACTAACACCTGGCAACACTTACACCTGACATAACCCAGGGTACTAACACCTGGCAACACTTACACCTGACATAACCCTGGGTACTAACACCTGGCAACACTTACACCTGACATAACCCAGAGTACTAACACCTGGCAACACTTACACCTGACATAACCCTGGGTACTAACACCTGGCAACACTTACACCTGACATAACCCTGAGTACTAACACCTGGCAACACTTATACCTGACATAACCCAGGGTACTAACACCTGGCAACACTTACACCTGACATAACCCAGGGTACTAACACCTGGCAACACTTACACCTGACATAACCCAGGGTACTAACACCTGGCAACACTTACACCTGACATAACCCTGGGTACTAACACCTGGCAACACTTACAACTGACATAACCCTGGGTACTAACACCTGGCAACACTTACACCTGACATAACCCAGGGTACTAACACCTGGCAACACTTACACCTGACATAACCCTGGGTACTAACACCTGGCAACACTTATACCTGACATAACCCTGGGTACTAACACCTGGCAACACTTATACCTGACATAACCCTGGGTACTAACACCTGGCAACACTTACACCTGACATAACCCAGGGTACTAACACCTGGCAACACTTACACCTGACATAACCCTGGGTACTAACACCTGGCAACACTTACACCTGACATAACCCTGGGTACTAACACCTGGCAACACTTATACCTGACATAACCCAGGGTACTAACACCTGGCAACACTTATACCTGACATAACCCTGGGTACTAACACCTGGCAACACTTACACCTGACATAACCCAGGGTACTAACACCTGGCAACACTTACACCTGACATAACCCTGGGTACTAACACCTGGCAACACTTATAACTGACATAACCCAGGGTACTAACACCTGGCAACACTTATAACTGACATAACCCAGGGTACTAACACCTGGCAACACTTATAACTGACATAACCCAGGGTACTAACACCTGGCAACACTTATAACTGACATAACCCAGGGTACTAACACCTGGCAACACTTATACCTGACATAACCCTGGGTACTAACACCTGGCAACACTTACACCTGACATAACCCAGGGTACTAACACCTGGCAACACTTACACCTGACATAACCCTGGGTACTAACACCTGGCAACACTTACACCTGACATAACCCTGGGTACTAACACCTGGCAACACTTACACCTGACATAACCCAGGGTACTAACACCTGGCAACACTTACACCTGACATAACCCTGGGTACTAACACCTGGCAACACAACCTCAACACCACAACACCACAGCAACACCACAACAACACCACCACCCACCTCAACACCACAACACCACAGCAACACCACAACACCACCACCCACCTCAACACCACAACACCACAACACTACCACCAGCCTCAACACCACAGCAGCCTCAACACCATCACCTCTCCGATTACAACTTTCAATTAAACTTTCACTGTTCTTCCAGACTCGCCACCCGTGTCTCCCCACGACCGATGTCTTTGGGAGAAGAAATCCAATAACATTCGTAATTTCCCACCTCACGGCTTCCAGACCCGAAGGAATTGCTCGCCGTCTCTCCAGTTCCTTACAGACAAGCTCAAGTTTGGTCACAGCTCTTCCTTCCCTACGTAAATATAGCCCAAACGCTTCCACAATGATCTGATGATATATGGTAATTGATAGAATGCATAGTGATGCAGATAATATCACAATATCGTAGTTTAAAATCAGTAATCAAAACAAAGAATATTATATAAGGAAAATGGGGACGTTTCAGTCCCTTGTGGATCCTTATTTTGTCGATACTCTAGGCCGAAACGTCGTCACATAAGGGTCCAGGACGGACAGAAACGTCGTCACATAAGGGTCCAGGACGGACAGAAATGTCGTCACATAAGGGTCCTGGACGGACAGAAACGTCGTCACATAAGGGTCCTGGACGGACAGAAACGTCGTCACATAAGGGTCCTGGACGGACAGAAACGTCGTCACACAAGGGTCCAGGACGGACCGAAACGTCGTCACATAAGGGTCCTGGACGGACAGAAATGTCGTCACATAAGGGTCCAGGACGGACAGAAACGTCGTCACATAAGGGTCCTGGACGGACAGAAACGTCGTCACATAAGGGTCCAGGACGGACAGAAACGTCGTCACATAAGGGTCCAGGACGGACAGAAACGTCGTCACACAAGGGTCCAGGACGGACAGAAACGTCGTCACATAAGGGTCCTGGACGGACAAAAATGTCGTCACACAAGGGTCCAGGACGGACAGAAACGTCGTCACATAAGGGTCCAGGACGGACAGAAACGTCGTCACATAAGGGTCCAGGACGGAAAGAAACGTCGTCACATTACGCCGGGGGGGGGCGTAAACTCCCGTCCCCGCCAGGGGCCCCGGATGGGGATCCTCACCCGGGGCCCTCCAGTGAGGATCCCCGCCCAGGACCCCCCCAACAGTAATGGTACAAGTGACTCCACAACAGGGGATGATGATACCTACCAACTAGTCCAAGGCAGAAACGGCGAGAAACGGGACAGGTTACAGCGACAGGATGAGCAGCAACAGCAACTTCAACAACAGCAACCTCAACAACAGCAACCTCAACAACAGCAAGCTCAACAACAGCAAGCTCAACAACAACAACAACGACAAGACGAAGACAGTGAGTGGCACACCCTAATCTTTCCTGCAATAGGATTGACTGCAGCAGAGAAGTTCAGATGGATTGTTGAGGCCGCCCGCGCCCACAGCACAGAGTATCGCCTAGAGAGCAGGTGTGTAGGTGGCAATGTCAGTGCACGGGTGCAGGGGCACAGAGCCCTGAAGTACTTCACAGAGACCAGTCTCGAGTATCAAGGTAAGAATGTTAAATTGTTGGAAGCAAACCCACAGACATGACAAACTAAAATTATAATTAATTAAGAACTATAGTATTCATGTTGACGTGGCATATCTCAAGGACTATGAAGAGATTGTTTGGGTGGAGCGCAACACTGGACCAGGGGACTGGCCAAAAATCAAGCGATTGCTATGTGGAAGGGAGAGCTGCCCCCAGTCATTAAAATACCAGGCATTAGGGAGTGCAAAGTGGAGAGGTATATTGGCAGCCCGTCCTTGTGTGGCAACTGTCAACGGTGGGATCACAGAACGTGGCCATGTGATCGCCCAATTAGGTGTGGGTGTTGCAGTGGCTCTCACGACACCAAGCAGTGCCTAGCTAAGCTTGCACCGGGTGGGAGTGGCGGGGTAATACCTAGATGTGTCAACTGCAAGCAGCCCCATCATGCCTGGAACAGGTATTGCAGTAAGAGGCCTGACTGGCAGGGCTTGAGAAGGACGCCGACGCAGACAGCACGTGGACCAGTGAACAGGGGCGGGAATGGCTCCGTGAACAGTACCACAGCAAGCCAGGGTCGAGCCTCCAGTAGGCAGACAACAGCCTGGGGGTAGTGGTGGAGTGACCCACCACCACCCTGCACAGGCCCAACCAGACCCCATTTCTCTCACAAACCCACTTACCTAACCCCAACCTTATCTCCCTCACTAACCCCAACCCTACCCCACCCAACAACCCCATTCCTGCCTCATCACCCATACCCCCTAATGCCTCCCAGTCAACCAGCCCTTCCGCCTCTCAGGCGACCCTCCCTTCCCCCCACCCTACCACTCCCCCTCCCCACTCACCAGCCAACACCTCACTGGGTCCAGATAAAACAATGCCGCCCGATATGGAAGCAATGATTACCCACGTGATAAAAAAAATCCCCCACTCATGCAAGAACTAATGAGCAAGAAAATAAACTTGAGAATACCCTATGTACAATCCAGAAGACCCAGGGGGACGTGCTTCACATTCTGCAGGGCCTGAACTTGTTTCTGGCGAGATCAGCAG